ATATTGAAGAGAGAGAGGAAAGTGCTTCTTTCAAGAAAATTACCATATAAGGAAATTTTCAAGAAATCAGTAGTGAATTAGTGAGTGTTTTTTTTTTTTAATTTGAATCTTTTTTTTATATCTGATATTAAATTGTTTTTATTATAAATTTGTTTAATCAAATTAGATAAGATTTGAACTTGTAATAGATTATTTATTATTTATTTAAAAGATTTTAAATTTTTTTTAACTGATAGGATTATTACTTTATTTAAGTATCATTGATAATAATGATAAGTTTATTATCAATTTAAAACTAGGCTCACTTTATATTAATATGCTTACAATATTCAAGATATTTGTATATATAATGTATTGCAAAACTTTTTAGTATTATTTATTTATTTGTTATTCAAAAATCATTATATAAAAATTAATAAATAATATATCAAAATAAAGCTTAAAATCTAGAGATTATAATAATATAAACTTTATATAAAAATGTTTTTTAAAATTTTTAAGTATTAAAAATTGATTACAAATAAAAATTTCATTAAAATTATTAAAATTTTATAAATTTTAATTCAATAAATTTAAAAATTTGTTAATTTAATCTATGGATTTTTTACTTTTTTTAAAAAATTTTTATATTTTTTAATTTGTAAATTTTTAAATTTTTAAATTTTAAAATGATATTTTTTTATATTAAAAATAAATTTATAACTTTGTAAATTTAAATAAAATAAATCTAAAAATTGATTAATAATAACAATAATTTTATATCTTTTTTATAAAAAATTTTTTTTAGTTTTTAATTCACTATTAATTAAAATTTAAAAAATTTAAAAAAAATTCCAAAAAGTTTTGCAACACACTGTATAATAATTATTTATTTCTTTACCAATAGATATAATATTAGCTATTATTGAATCTTTAGATAACATGAATTTCAATAAAATAAGTTTATTATATTACTGTAAATATAATTTATTATAAGATTTTTACTATCAATCTACATATTGCCTTTTTTTAAAAGAAAAAAAATGTAAAAAGAGAAGAAAATAATCAAAAAAAGAAATTTTCAGATAGAAAAGAATAAGCAGGAAAAGGTTTTTTTTTAATTATTGATTATTTTTATATATCAATATGCTTTAATTGTTTTTATAATTGTAATTAAAAAATGGTTTATAAGAAATTTAAAATATTTTAACTTTATTTAAAATAAAAAATCGGATTTTTTATCAAAATATGATCGATTACTAAAGTATAGTAAAGATTCAATTCAATAATATTAAATTTTGTTGGAGTAAAATTTCGTAAGATTTTTTTAAAAAAGTAACATATAAAACAATTGGTTTAAATATATATTTAAGTTTAATTTGATAACAAATCTTCGATTAATACAAAAAAAAATAAAGATAAAAAGAAAAAAAAAAAACGGAAAAAGAAAGAAAAAGAAAGAAAAAAAAGATTTAAGTTATTTTAAAAATTTGATCACGTTCAAAAAATTTTTTAAAAAAATATTTTTTACATTTCTTTAACGACTCTACATTTTGAGAGATCAAAGTATGGTACGTATTTAAAAATGAACCATTGAGAGAACAATCTCAGTGTTAAAAAATTTAAGTAATTCTTATATGCCAATTTAGGCACTAAATTAAATTAAATAAATTAAGATCAACTATTTGTACAACGTTTCATTTTTAGAAATTATACCACAAGTGATAAAGGGTTTAAATGACATCCGGTTAACATTTCTTAATCTACCTTATTCTCAAGATATGAGGCTTGTAAGTGTATGTAATATAATTATGCAATTAATTTTTAGTTAGCCAGTATCCTAATGCAAACATTTTTTACAAGTTTCGCAATGATAAATTTAGTTCTCAAAGGGAACCATATTACGGGAAATGTACACAATGCAAGAGATATAATACTTCATTAGCCTGGTGTCAGTCGTGTGATCCTTTTAAAACTACTCAAGGATGGACTAGTGGAAATAAGGATATTGATGATTACATTAAAGAATTTCAGCTTAAAGCTACTGAATATGAAGACGTAATTGAGTGGATTCCATTTAATAGGCTATCTGAATTTCAAAACATTAGCGAAACAGAATTTTGGGCGCAATGGTTAGATGGAATACGAAAGGTTAAAAATCGTACACAATCACGTACATTATCGTGTTCAGTCGAACTTAGGAAATTTGATGGTTTACAAGTTAATGCATTAGAATTTATAAGAAATGTAAGTTATTTTTTATTTCGTGGTTTATTTAGTGGCACAACACTTATTTTATAATATATTTTACTAGCTTAAAAATTATCTCCGATCATGGTATTGGGAACATAATATATATGGAATTACCCGGGATACAACTGGCCAATATATGATTGTATATGATTGTTTTTATTCTAAAAGGTATATGAGGTATGGAGAATGTGCACAATGCGAGAGATATAATACTTCAGAAGCATGGTGTCAGTCGTGTGATTCTTTTAAAACTACTCAAGGATGGACTAGTGGAAATAATGATATTGATTATTGCATTAAAGAATTTCAGCTTAAAGCTACTGAATATAAAGATGTAATTGAGTGGATTCCATTCAATAGGTTATCTGAATTTCGAAAAATTAATGAAATGGAATTTTGGGCACAATGGTTAGATATAAATGAGTGGATTCCATTCAATCGTCGACCTGAATTTCGAAAAATTAATGAAATGGAATTTCGGGCACAATGGTTAGATGGAATACGAAAGGTTAAAAATAACACACAATCACGAACATTATCATGTTCAGTTGAACTTACGAAATTTGATGGTTTACAAGTCGATGCATTAGAATTTATAAGAAATGTAAGTTATATATTATTTCGTGGTTTATTTAGTAGCACAGAATACTTATTTTTATAATTTATTTTACAAGTTTAAAAAATTTATCCAATCAGAAGATAGTAAGCATAATATAAATACGCATGTTATATATGGAATTACCCGGGATACAACTGGCCAATATATGGTTGTATTTGATGAATACTCTTCTATAAGGAATATAATGTATGGAATATGTGCACAATGCGAGAGATATAATACTTTAGAAGCATGGTGTCAGTCGTGTGATCCTTTTAAAACTACTCAAGGATGGACTAGTGGAAATAAGGATATCGATAATTGCATTAAGGAATTTCAGATTAAAACTATTAATTATGAAAACGTTATTGAATGGATTCCATTCATTAAATTATCTAACTTGCAAAAAGTTGATGAATCAAGACTTCAGGCATTATGGTTAGATGGGATACGAAAGGTCGAAATTAAAACACAATCACGTATAGCATCACATACAGTTGACCTTAAGAAATTTGATGGTTTACAAGTTGATGCATTAGAATTTATAAGAAATGTAAGTTATTTATCATTTCGTGGTTTATTTAGTGGCACAACACACTTATTTTATAATATATTTTACTAGTTTAAAAATTATATCCAATCAGGGGATAAAGTATACGGAATAACTCAAGATGCAACTGGTCAATATATGATTGTATTTGACGAATTCTCTTCTATAAGGAATATTAAATATGGGATGTGTGCCCAATGCGATAGATATAAAACTTCACAGGCATGGTGTCAGTCGTGTGATCCTTTTAAAACTATTCAAGGATGGACTAGTGGAAATAAGGATATCGATGATTGCATTAAAGAATTTCAACTTAAGTCTTCTAAATACGAGAATGTAATTGAATGGATTCCATTTAATAGGTTATCTAACTTGCAAAAAGTTGATGATTCAAGCTTTCAGGCATTATGGTTAGATGGAATACGAAAGGTCAAAAATAATATACAGTCACGTATATCATCATGCGTAGTTGAACTTGAGACATTTAATAGTTTTCTAATTGATACATTAGAATTTATAGGAAATGTAAGTTATATATTTTATTTTGCAGTTTATCTATTTGCCCGATACTGATTTTAATAATTTATCTTAAAGTTTAAAAATCATATGCAATCGGAAAATAATAAAGTATATGGAATTACACAGAACGTGATAACTCGTAAATATATGGTCATATTTGATAGATTCAGTTCCATAAGGAGGAAATATTACGAGATTTGTGCAAAGTGCAAGCGTTATAATACTTCATTTGCCTGGTGTCAGTCATGCGACCCTTTTATAGCCACTCAAGGATGGACTAGTGGAAATAAGGAAGTTGATTATTGCATTAAAGGGTTTCAACTTAAATCTTCTAAATACGAAAATGTAATTGAATGGATTCCATTTAATAGGCTATCTAACTTGCAAAAGGTTGATGAATCAAAATTTCGGGCACTATGGTTAGATGGAACGCGAAAGATCGAGGATAATATACGGTTACGTATATTATCATGCGCAGTTGGACTTAAAGCATTGAACAGTTTTCCGGTTAATATATTGGAATTTATAAGAAATGTAAGTTAGATACTTTATTCTGTGGATTATTCAATAGCACAACTTACTAATCGCAATACGTTATTTATAAGTTTAAAATTTATATGCAACCAAATGATAATAAACTTAAAGTATATGGAATAACACAAGATACAACGACTGGTCAATATATGATTGTATTTGACGAATCTTCTTCTATAAGGGATAATATATATGGAATATGTGCACAATGCAATGGATTTAATACTTCATTAGCCTGGTGTCAGTCGTGTGATCCTTTTAAAGCAACTAAAGGATGGACTAGTGGAAATAGGCATATCGATGATTGCATTAAAGAATTTCAACTTAATGCTACTAGACATGAAGATGTTATTGAGTGGATTCCTTTTAAT